AGTTTCGACGAGCACACCCCATATTTCTCACCTCCACATAGGTCTGTTTGGTAGAAATACGTCCATTTCTCACCTCCACGTAGGTCTGTTTGGTAGAAATACGTCCAATTTAGCTTCGCCTTTCGGAATGGGTAAAACGGCCAGGTTAGTAAGCCTTTACTTTATGATGCAGAAGAACCATTACATCGTGTGCTAAATATAACCCTGTCCTTTACCTTTGAAGACCAGATCGAGAACACGCTAACGCAACGGTGGCGTGACTTCATAGACTAAGGACGTGTCTCAGCCTTTCTGTGTAGTCCGTTTAGACGTTATTCATTTAATAATGCATGGACTTTAGTTGAGACTCTTCGAGTTTTCATCCGACATGAAACCTTTTTGATTTGGGTCATTCGGTCGAATCTATAGGCTCAAAGTGAACCCATATACCCTGGCCAGATGTCCAGTGGAGTTGAAATTCTTCCTTTAATCAAAATTGGACGGATGTGAATCAAAAAGAATTAGATGAAAAATTGTAATTGCAAACATTTCACGAGTTTAAATATTAGAGCCTAACACAGAGCGGAGCAGCGTGCTGCCAGTGCAAAACGCGCACTGGTGCCTAAAAACCTACAGGGAACTTCTCGCATTGCGCAATGTATCCCTGTAGGTTGGAACAGTGGATGTTCCTTACATCAAAAAACTTGGGTCTTTTGATAACGCGTTTCGGTCGTTGACGTTGAGGGCTGAGAACAGTTATCGCGGTAGCGGTCGCTCCTGCCTCTGCTACTGTTGTAAGACTTAGCAGCTTTTTCTCTACAGATTTTTCGCCATTTTCAAAAGAATCTTTTAACCCTTCAATGTAAAGGCAAGGAACAATCAATGAGTCCCTCCAAGCAGGGGCTAAGCTGCCCTAAATCCCGAGGTCCCTCTAAGGTGTCGATCCTATCAATTCCCTTCTTCCATCCTTTTTCCGCTCATCTTTTCGTTTCGCTCATCTCTGTCTCCATTTTTTTGTTCCTCACGGAACAAATTTCAATTGTCCCCATTCCGAAATTCACCCAAAATTTACAAAACACACATGATAGTTTCTTTTAATACATATTACTTTTTTCTTCATCAATTTAAATGAGAATAATCTATGCAGCATAAGCAAACATTTCAAAATCATAAGTTGGAAAACGCTGACCCCGCGAGTTTAAATATTAGAGCCTAACTGCGTGGCTCGGAAGCAATCGTAATGCGTGTTTTTTAAAGACAGCCTGGAAAGTATGCAATCTCTTGCGCACTAATTCTTTGTCTAGCATCAACGCACGTTTTGCTTTCCTTCTCAATCGTTAAAGTCTCCTAGTAATTCTGTCGCGCTAAGGAAGAACGCCGTATGAGCATTCGAAACTTGCCAAATTTCCTTCAGTAAAATGTTCATTTTTGAGGAAAGTGATGAACATTTTTCCTTGAAATTTTCAGGAGCTTTAGGTGAAATTGCTAACAACATAATCTGAAAAATTGGAAGAAAAATATTCATGCATTTACTAGGAAATTCGTGTTTCATCAAAGCAAATATGGGATCGCCTGAAGGTTGATACGGCGTTTTTCCATAGCACGCATCGCATCGCTAGCAGTATAGGATCTATGGTTTGTAACCATTGTGTTACACTGCACCGTTCCGAGTCTATCACAAGGGGACTTTAACGCAGGAGTAGAAAAGCAGAAAAGCAAGAAACTTTAGGTGAAATTGCAAACAACATAATCTGAAAAATTGGGAGAAAAATATATAAGTTTACCAGGAAATTCGTGTTTTATAAATGAAAATTTGGCAACGCCTGAAGGTTCATACGGTGTTTCTCCTTTGCACGGCAGAATTTGCCATGGAAGAGCTGAAATTCCTTAACTCCGCGATTTTTGGTCATTGAAGGTCTATATTTTACGGAATGCATAATGGTTTGGTCATTTTCGATCTATCTCGGGGTCTACCACTGGCACGATCCGAAAAAAATGGCGCAAAACCACCTAAACGCGAATTGTTCTCGATTTTCCCGAATAACATGTGGCAACGCTGAGCCACAGCGGGAGATAAATACATAAATAGATAAAACATTAAAACATGCATAAAATCCCTAATAATGTGGCCACTACGTGTGAAAAATAAAGGTTTCTGAACTTGCGGAATGTTCTTGACGAGGAACAGCCTCCGAATTCTGAAATACTAGGTTTTCCGTGAATTCAGGCAATAAAATATGGCAACACCGGCTTTTTTGGGGGGCTTTGAATCCAAAAAAGTTTTTTTAGGAAGGTTTTGACCACCCACGTCATTTATTGTCAAAAAATTAAACTCTGGCGTAAGATGAGTCGCTTTTTTAAGCCATTTTAAATAACGATGAAAAACAGGAAAATTCTAAAAAGTTTTTTTTAACAACGAGCGCAAAGTTTGACATCAACAAAAATTGGCCAAAGTGACTCTCTTACATCCCTAATGAACATACTTGAAGGAATTTTTTGGCCTCCGAAGGGATCGGTATGAAACAGCGCTTTGAATGCCGAACAACCCGCATTTTTCGCCAAAATTGGCCTTCAGACCCATGTTTAGGCCAGTGATAGACCCCGAAATAGATCGAAAATGACCAGACCATTATGCATTCCGTAAAATATAGACCTTCAATGACCAAAAAATCGCGGAGTTGAGGAATTTCAGGGTGGGCCCAAAAAAGGCCCTTAACGATATCCCTCCTTTGTAAAACTAACTAAATGTAACTGGATCTGTTGGAACAGGACATGGAGTATGTTCGTGGATTGTGTGAAGAGGTACACGGATAAGTGTTTCACCGACCAACGACGACAGGAGTTCAACAGGGCCGTTGAGCTACCGGTCGATTCCGTCCATCAGATGTGCACTGACTCCGACTACCAACAAGGTAACCAGTAACCGCATCCCTGGGGTGTCAGCCTCCCCAAAGACAACAGAAACGATACATTTTTTCGATTCACTTTAAATGAACTCAATTACTCTGTTGAAGCACTGAAATTCCCTCTGCTTGGAAAATATGAGGGTTCTTCAAGTGCCGTAAATGCGCAGAAATGTATCGACGGTGAAACTACCAAACCACGTATCTCGTTTGCGGTGTTTAAAAATCTACGCTCACATTTTATTTTTTGGAAGTAGACCAAATCAATATCATTCCTTGAAATTTTCACAGAATTTTCTCCGCGCGAAGAGGAAAAATCACAGAAATTTTCAAGACTGGACGTTAAATAGTTTTTCATTTAAAAAATAAAGTATGACGGGAAGTCTGTGACGTCGCAAACCGAGATACGTGGTTTGGTAGTTTCACCGTCAGTATGCCATTCCTAACAAAACAGCAGTAAGGTACGTTATTCCTCAAGAGAGCTGTCGTTACTGTTGTCTCGTGCAAAATGGTATACCCTTTTCTGCCCAAGTTTTACCTTTGAAATTTGATGATCTTTGTTGAAAAAAGGATGAAGTAAGTATACCGGAGGCTACACATACGGGTTTTTGTATAATCTTGCATAATCTTTTATAATATCTTGATATGGTAGTTATTTTTAATAGACGTTAATTGCGCTTTCTAAAGAAAAGAACAATTAACGTCTATAAAAAATAACCTTTGAACATCGCATCGTGATACAAACATATGATTTTATTTATTAATGGATTTATTTATTTTGTAATTTGTACAAAATGAGCTTTTGACCGAAACTATATGGCACCCGTCATGGTATGGTACGTGATTGCATGATCACATGGTACATGATATGGTACAATGTATGGTACATAAAAAATGTACATACTTATGGTATGCCGTCCAAGGTGCTGGAAGGAATAGTGATAATTGAAATTCGCTTATAAGCTCCTGGAGCTCATAGAACGCCTTGCCGCACGGTGGATTGAGTCAATGAGGTCGGACAAAATTTGGAAACTGTAAAAGCTTACAAATCCGTTTATACAAACTGTTGAGGTTCTGAAGGTGTTTCCATCGGTTTCCTCGTTGAATTTTCTTCTATGAGCACCCCTTGAAATTTAAAATGTGGCGGTATAAACATCAAAATTTGCAGTTTTTCTCAAAAATTTCATGTTCGACCTCTGTAATTGACTCGGTCCACTGTGCTCCGATTAAGAAAACACGCAACCCCTTGAAGAAAAACGTGAAGAAGGCAGTGAAATTTTGCACTGAATCAAAGCGAAATCCTTAATTCGTCCATTCTGAGTAGATCAGTTGATTTTTAAATTAGGAAACGTAATTTGGCCTTAACTGCAAGATATGAGGGATGAACCCGTCTATTTTCAACCAAATATGCTTTAACTTAATGTTACTTGAAGGGGAGTAAGAACTCTAACTCAAATGTAGCCACGATAAAAAAATTACTCATCTTAGGCAATGAATTGCATAAGTTCAATAATCTTTATAACAGTTTTTGTGAAAGTTGCAACGTAAGCTGAAGTCTGTCAAAACTTGAAGACCAGAATTAAATGCTTATCATTGCCAACAATATTACTCACTCAAACTGTCATTGTGTTTCATCGTTACCCCTTACAGGATTTTTGTGCGTATTTTCCTCCAAAATGCTAACTTAGCCTTCTTTTGCAGAGTATTTAAAGCACGCAAAGTGTATGAAAGCCACGCTGACAGAGGACTCCCACTGCGGCAGGCATTACAGGCATCTCGTTAACCAAGTTTCAGGTGAAGCCGCCAGACCCAGCTTATGTTGGTAAGCAAATTCATTGCCCTATTTTTCAGACAAAATGTAGTTTCCTCTTGCTGTATCCACGAGATAAGAAGTATTAAAACAATAACTTCATTGTAATACACATTACTGAGCAAAAGGGTGGACTGCAATGCAACTTTTCATTTTTACAGGAGAGTTTCGTTCTTAAAGTAATTGCTGCGTGGAACCACGAATCGAAATGAAAAATAAAATATAATTATTTCTCAGAGTTACGTACAAATAAAGTTTTAATGTTTCGCAAAAATTATCAGTTGTAAAAAATCAATGTTCAAAGGGAGGCCTCTTCAAGCCCCACACTTGTCATTATGAGTCATTCTTGAATACAATTTTACATTTGTTTTTCTTACTTTGCAGCTCTCACCACAGGTTTCGTGAGTGCGTAATGGACCAGACGCGTCGCACGTGCGATCCTGATGCAGCACCTTATGCCAAACAAATCTTAGATAAAGCAATGAGTTTCCTTCGAGAGCAGTGCTCTACTTACATGTGAGTTGCACACTCAAATTTAACAGCTAATTTGATTTATATATGATTGAATTTGGAAGCTCGGTCAAAATTTATGCAAACCTGAGTTGGTTCCGAAAAAAAATATCACAGCAGTTAACTCGATTTTCCTTCAACACGCTCTCAATAAACAGCTGGATTTAATCTCGGAACTGACTCAAACGCGTATGTTTGCGAAACCGCATTTGCATCTTTGTTTTTTTGAAGGCGCTGAGGGATGGGATAGGTGATGGTTCTTAACTGTTTCTTGTCACAACTCACAACATACTGGGACTAGATGACTAGGTGGGTCAAACTCGGCAGGTAGCTCACGATCACACGTGTTTGTTCGTGCACCTTTATTAGTATCCTTCATGATTGAAGGCGCTTCCGGCTGAGTATTAATTAGGATGAATTCAAACATAATTAACATACTTTAAACGTTGCCTAATTTTCTCCCAATATTTGGATAATAGAAATTTGCGTAAAATTCTATCTTCAAAATTATTAAGTGTGTTCTTTACAGTCTTCGAAATTTGTTTTTGAAAGAAAAACAACTAGCGGAGCTTTGGGAAAATGAAATGCAGATAGGCTACTTCTCGTCAAATCCTACCATATACACGTGCAGTTGAGCATTTGACGTTGCAAACTAGGATTCAATCCTTTTGCAAATTGGCTTATTTCCGGATAAAATACAGGAATCTACACTAAAACGTAGTTTTACAAAGGTAAATGGCAACGTTTCGGACCAATTATATGCCAATTATCAACTGTAAAAAAAGCTAAAAAACGAAAAATTAAACAAGAGAACTTTTAAACTTTCAGCTTTCGTTTCAATGGAGAATGAGCATGTAGTAATTGTTCCGAAACGTCCTGTTTACATTAAATTCGCCATTTAGCCTTGTATACTAATGTTTCAGTGTGTTTTTCTTGTATTTTATTGTTAAAATAGGACTTTTTTTTCGCGTCTCTCTTATCAATTACTACCGGATGTATCTTTTTCGTTCATGATCCAGTAGTAATTGGAATATTTCTCACCGCTGAGTGCACAAATTCATACTTTTCGTGATGTTGCAGACCGAATCGGATAGACTGTCCTGGAGCGGACTTCTACAAGCAGCCACCCTCAATTATCCAGGCGGAGCAAAGGTGGCCCCCGGCGGTGCGACCCACTCCCGGGCCGGGCCCCCTCCCCATGGGGGGCATCAACATGGCCGGCATGGGGTCTCAGTGGCAACCCCCACCCCCATTGACCCCCGCCGACGGCAGGGGTAAGTCAGTCTCCCATCATTCTTCCCTTCTCCTAGCATACATTTTGACCTTCTTCTTTCTCCTCGCGGATATTTTCTATCTGTAGTTTGCAATCATCCCAAGGATCATATCAAAATTATAATTTGTATGTTAAATTCTGCGTTTGGAGCATCTTTACCGGCCGCTGCGCTGCGTCAAGTTAAGCGTCACCGCCTAGAAAATTTTAAAATTTGAAAACAGCTCGTCCTCAGAGCGGTACTACTAAATATATTATAGAAATCGTCTCTGTAGATATGTAGATTTGACTTCGTAAAAAATATGCACTGGAGGCGTAAGACAGAGTATTGTGATTATTTTGTAAATTCCGCATGGGTCAAGGTTTTTTGGGTGAAGGGAGATCTCAAGATTGGCGATACTTAATGATCGTGAGGAGTCCGGCAAAATGTGCCTTACGATGGGAACCCAACATTGTTCAGTACAGTGCAAAAATCCAGTCTAGGGTCAAAAATAACAATTTTCAGTTGTTGATGCTTGATACATATTATTAATGATGCTGTAATGGCTTGAAATTAATCATTTCTAAAGCTGGCAAAAGTGCCGGCAACCCTTAACGGCATTTTCCTCAAACTTTTCATTTTTAATGTTCAAACTCTGAAATGTTCCTAAAGGGTCAATTTTTTGGAATTTTTGGGTACTTCTTGGGCCGAATATTGGGAATTGACCTCCGTGCTCTGAGCTATGTACAATCGTGCTTTTTTCCACCTTAAGACACATTTTTTCCGGCTTTATCATAATGTTCAGCTTGATTTTCCCAAATATGTTTAAAGTCTAGGCGTGCCTTTTCTCTCTATTTTTAAGAGACGTAGATCCTTTGAGAGGAACTATGTGATGCTTCTATATGAGAAATGGCACCACTTTCTGATAAATTTTGTCAGGCAAAAAAAAAAGGCTCCCAAGTCACAAGTAAGGGAGACCTGCATGAATCGTCATTTTGTACCTAAAGACCTTTAATTATTTTCAGTTTAATTGAAAGAATATTTAAATATGTTAGAATTCACTTTTAATGGCGCACAATCCTCCCTTACGTCCTTCATTCCCTTTCATGTAACATATAAAAGTGAGAACTCTTACTACATCGTACAATTGAAATCCAGGTAATGCGAACATGTTGCGCAAAACCTTTAAAAAAAGAAGAGTCTTAAAGCATCAATTCAAATAATTTTTTTGCCACTTTTAATGTGCGTTGTTTGATCGGACGCTATTTGAGGATATTCTCGTGAAATTGTATAAAGAAAAAGAATGTAATAAAACTACTCGTGGACTTTTTTTGTGTGTAAAAATGTAAAAATACTTGTAAATACCGGAGTATAAGGGTCTAATAGGCTGCTGTTTTCCGACCTGGTTTGATGTAAAATTGTTGGATGATACTCAAAAATTTATTTTAATGATTGTCACACAAAAATTTTGATAAAAAAGTGTACAACGGATTCAAGAAGGAGCAACACGAGTTTAGCCTTGAGTCCCATCCCCATACCTGAAAACACGTTAATGTAAAAACCTACCTTCATACCCACTCCATGATTAAGGATCATACTTACATTTTTTTCGTGCACAAGTCCTCCAAAATATTTTTCTCTTTTCTCTTTTCTCTTTTACACAAATTACGAAAAATTAGGTAACATACCTATTGTTTCCACACTAACTCCGCAGGTTTTTAACCCCAACACTATGAAGATAATGTGTAATAAAAGAGTTATTTTGAGAAGGTGTAATTAATGACAATGTTTAGAAATCACGATTTTTCAATTTAAAAAAAACCAATCGATCTATGATAAAATCATAAGAAGTATTCTGATCCTAAAAAATATGTTTCTCAATGCCTCCACGGGGAAGTGAGATCTACAGAAATCATATTTACGGTGAGTCATGAAGATCAGAGGTACTTACTGTTGTATATTTTCTGTTGTTCCATATCTGTGACCATGTGTCGTCCACCACGAAATAAGTTGTGTCCGTTCGACTGCTCTGAAATTAATTACCGTTCGTCTGTTGAACATGAGAACAAATTTAAATGTTGGCAAAGAAGGAATGTCGTTTACTTTTTTACATCTTTTTTAAAGAAAAATCATTTTCTTTTCCCGTAATTTCCTTCTGTTTGTAGGTATGTTTAAAATCCGAGAAGTATTTATCACGTAGATCCCCCTCCTCACTGTATTGGTTCACTCTCTATGATTCATTTATTTTGGAACCGTTTATTTTCACGATGCACCCTTCAAAAGTACCACATTAATATATCCCTGTCACTTCCCAATTGACCTCAATCAAAGGGAAATAAATCTTACCACGTATCTTTCCATGAGGTTATTTCATTACATATCGTTACTGCAATACCTCTTCGTTGTTCGCGAGTATGTAGTGCAATTCCACATTTCCAATGAAAGGAAAAACATTAAAGGTGCCGGATGTTACGAGTACACAACCAAAATCCATGATACATATGCATGTGTTTTCTCAAAATTTTCCCTCAATACCAGTTTCTTTTTTTCTCTTTTTTTTTAAAAAAAAAAATTGAGGTATCATCGCATATGCATCTTGAAATTAACGAGCCCTTTTCTCTCCCGTCATTCTGAAAAATAGTTACGTCGCTGTAAAGTTGCATGTTTCATGATGTTTAATTTTTTGGCACGATTTTCCTTAAATCGTCAATCTCAATGAATGTCAGCTTGGTTAATTTTTTTAGTTCAATTTGAATCCTGAAAAATATCAACTCCCCATGGCGAAGCCTAACCGAATTTCAACGCAATCTGATTCAGTACAATATTAAATCTGAAAATTTCTTGCGATTAAAAAAAGAGTAACAAAGAGACTTATTTTAACCAAAATGTGTTCCCTTTTGCTGATTCAGTCCAAGTTTAATGTAATCGATCGAAGAAGAATGCTTTATGAAAATAATGGAATATTGTTCAATGTCAATTTTTAAAACAGTAACTGAGTGAATTACGTGAATAGTTTTTATTCTGCTATTTCACCTGGAAATAATCCACCCTGAAATGCATGGAACTTTCAATAAATTGCATAAGTTTGTAGCTGCCTGAGAACCAATGAATAACTCTCCAAACCCGAATCCACTCGACGCCTGAGGGCATGCGCTTCTTTTATCGTTCTCTTTTTTATTGTCACTGTTGAATGCCATAAAAAGCTGCCGACGCGACGGCCAGAATAATTAAGGGCAAAATTAAAAATAACCCGATCTTAAACCTACTAACTTGTCAAATGCTTGTCAAGTCAGGTAAAAGGACCTTTGAGACGGGAACTCGAAATCAATTCTTGGGTCAAAAAGATCGATTTTCAGTCTTCGATTCCAAACGATCTCTAGCATTCTTAACGACATTGATTCAAAATTTCAAGCCTGTTTTTTCATTATCAAGGATCTTATGATCTTTCTACATACACTTCTTCTACGGCTATCACTGAAAAAATAAGGTGTGCTTGGCTCAAGCATGCTGATTCTTGAATTTGCCGCCAAGAATTTTTTTATCTTGATTTAAGCTGAATTTTTCTTGATACCAGAAAGATAATGCTTGGTTTAAGCAAAAAATTAGTTAATATTCAGCAGCAAAATTCTTAATTTAAGAAAAAAACAAGTTTTGGTGGCAAATTTAAAATTCTTTTTTTTTTTCAATGTAACAGTTCCGGAAACCTTTACGTGTACTCCTCTTGCATTTGTATTTTAACGTCTTCGAAGTGTAAGATGTTCTCGACACAGTTTTCAGACGCTCTCGGAATAGTTTTTTAACAGTCTTTTCTAACTTAATCTGATTTTAGCCAGCCATAACTGTCATCATGATCAAAGAAATATAACTAACGAATAAACACTATTGACTTAAAAATATTGATATTTTGTCGTCCTTCAAATCTGCCATTTTAGAACCCCTGCTTAGAACAAGATTTGCATGGTCGTTTTTGAATGATAATTTAGCCCCAATAAGCGGTTTCAGCACTTTGGAAAAATGTCAGTTCAAAGGCGTCCACAGCTAGAATTCTGCCGTACTCAGCAAAAATGCCGTATTTGCCAAATTTCCTTCAACAAATTACTGGTGTTCAGGAAAACTTGTGAATATTTTTTCTCCGATTTTTCAGAGAATTTTGTTCGTAATTTTATCTAAAAAGTCCGAAAATTTCAATGAGAAAGACGCATAATATTCTTCAAAAATACATGTTCTATTCGGGGAAATTTGGCAACTCTAAAATCTTAATACGGCGTTTTTCCTTAGCATGTCAGAATTGTACATGCAGTCAGCAGAGGAACGCAACGTATAGATCAGGTCGCACCTTGCATCACCTTGATTCAACTATTCGCGCTCCGGTGTTGTCCACGTTGCATATAATCAAAATTGAAGGCGCTCTGGCTTTCTATGCCCGCTCAGCAGTGCGAAATGCTTCTAGGGTTATAGGACATTTCGTCAACGATTTTTTATCCGCGCACCTGTTTTTTTTTCAGGAGTTTACGTAAACGCGTTTTTTCGAAAGGGGAGTTTTGGTCCACTTACCACATAAGGCCCAAAGTTAATTATTCCACATGTAAATACAAACGACAATTGCTTACGACGTTTTTGAATGAAAATGTTTAATGTCTTGGAAGAATGAGGGTTTGCTTGTTTTTTTTTTTTTTTTTTTTTTTTTTTTTTTTTGTTTGTTTGCTCCAACGGAGAAAAATATATAATTGAGATTTTTGGTAAAAATGAGGAAGCGTCATTTCCATGAGAGAAAATTGACTAAAACTCTCTACACCTCTTTGGTGCAACAGGACTTAATTATCTTTCAAGAAAATCCCACATTTTTATACCTGAACTGGAAAACCTGTTGATTTGCCTCAGCTAAAGGATCTCATATTTTTCCTGTGCATGATAATTTCGCATCGGTTTGCCGCAGTGCTTCGAACCATTATTTCGCCACAGAGGTGTTGCACAGTATCATATGAGATCGAAGGCACCCCAACGTATCATGATTGATGGCATATTTCAAAAGCACGAAGTTCCCTCGCAAATAGAATCGAGTGACGACAACAAAAAGAGAGTGGTAGTCGAAAAACTTACTGTCCCAGTATCTGTATTTAATAACGTTTAGTATGATTTTTAACTTCATTAGAGGAACAAGTGACCTAATTTAAGGAGAAATATCCTCAAATTTACCGCCAAGAAGATTTCCTTATGAGTTAATAAAGAAAATGATGTTTTCTAAAAAAAGAAAAGATGCCTCTATAAAAATGAAAGTCACTTACATCAAGCAAAAACCCGCTTTTGTTCACCTATTTTATTCTTGATTCAAAATAAAATCTTCTTGACGGCATACTCAAGAAAGTTCCTTAATCTCTCTTATCTCGACTTATTTTGCAAGGAAAGTTCCGTGCTCTTAAAGGATGCCTGTCATTCTTATTCTTGGTATGTTGGAGTGCCTTCAATTTCGTATAGTACTGTACAACACCTCTATTGTGAAATAGTGAAGCGCCGTGGCGCGTGGCACGCTGCGACGCGGCCAGCTAGCCAGCCAGCAGGGAACGCGCATTGGCGCCTTCAAACCTGAGGGATACCTCAAGCATTGCGCAATGCGTGAAGTATCTGCTTAGGTTTGTAGGCGCCAGTGCGCGTTTCGTGCTGACAGCACGTCGCATCACTCCGCTTTATGCTAGGGCCTATTATTTAAACTCGCGGAGTCAGCGTTTTTTAACTCATGATTTTTATAAGTTTGCACACTCTGCATGGATTACTTTAATTTAAATTGATAAAAAAAAATATATTTATGAAAGGAAAATTTAATGTGTGTTTTCTAAATTTTAAGGTGTTTCCTTGTCGTATTTAATGATTTTCAAAGCACATTAATTTTTTCTTTTATATTTTGTGCTTTTACTGTGCTGCAGCGTGGTGTGAGCGCAACCAAACGCTCAAAATACGACGTACTTGACTCTGAAAGATCGATGTACAAATGGGCTAAAACCGAAGATTGCGTGCTTCGCGGTTTTTTCCCTCTTTTATTCATTTGTGCATAGTTTCTTTCGACACAACTACTGCTCATTGACTTTAATATCGATGCTATCGCTTGGAAAAGGTTTTACAAATATTTGCCACGTTTTAAAAATGTAAATGTTTTTAAAATAAAGTAATATTTTCATTTAAAAAAAAAATATTTATAAGGTTGATATTTCATCGAAAACTTCAAGGATGGAAATAAAACCAAATATTCACCCATGACAATTTAAAAAGATTGATCAAAAGAAGGAAATAACATTTCATTTAAAAAATGAGTTACCGCAACAACTCTTCCGTCTCTCTCGATTTTCTCATTTCATCATTGTCAATTTAATTTTACATACGGAATAAAATATGACACTTGGGCCAAGTCACTGTTGCTTATTTCACGCGTGGACGTAAACTATTAGACAAAACAGGTGTGCGGACAAAAAATCGTTGACGGAATGCCCTGAAACCGCTCCTAGCGAACCTTTCATTACCTGCTGGCAAAATTGTTGCCTCGATGAGAAATAAAGGAGCAAAGAGGAAGGGCATCTACAAGCCGCATTCAGTGCACTAAAAGTTGTCTAGGGAATGGGCCTTCTCTGTTAAGATGTTGGCAACTTTAAAATGCAGTTACGTTATTTTATTTAGGAGACGTCGACATTCTATTTTGTTCTGTGAATGATGGGCAACCACGAGCAATGCCAATCACATATCGACGGTGAAACTACCAAACCACGTATCTCGTTTGCGGTGTTTAAAAATCTACGCTCACATTTTATTTTTTAGAGTAGACCAAATCAATATCATTCCTTGAAATTTTCACAGAATTTTCTCCGCACGAAGAGGAAAAATCACAGAAATTTTCAAGACTGGACGTTGAGTAGTTATTCATTTAAAAAATTAAGTATTACAGGAAGTCTGCGACGTCGCAAACCGAGATACGTGGTTTGGTAGTTTCACCGTCGATATGTGGATATATTTATGCTAAAAGGAACTATGTGCAAGTGGAAAGATGGGGTGCACTCGTGGAAGCTGCATAAGAAACAATGTAAAAGTGGAAATAGTTCTTGTGAGAAAGAAGTGTCGTTGATCGTCGTTTCTCTCGTCGTTGCCTCTGACGTCACTGGCGCTTTATATTTCCCATTCCTTCGTATGGCCCGACCACTAACGATCACACCCCATCTTTCCACTTGCACATAGTTCCATTTAGCATAAATACGTCCATGCCAAAGTTGATATTACATATTTATGAAATTATTCGGAGGGATTGCTTCCTGCGGCACGAGGAATGATCAAACACTAACCTGACTTTCCGTTTTTTCAGCAGGCTCAACCAATCTACGCGTAGAGTGGCCGAGCAGCGTGCAGGCGACGTCGTGGGCCCCGAGCGCCCGCCCCCTGCCTGGCGGCCCCGGGCCCGGGGGGCCGTTCGCGACGACGCCGCCCCCGCGAGCGCCGACGGATGACGTCAACGGCGTGACGCGCTCGAGTTTCGGGCGGGGGATGTCCTGGTCCACGCCGCAGACGACGCCGCCGACGGAGCAGCCCTCCTGGCGGGTCTCCTCCAGCTTCTCCACCGAGCAGCCCTGGTACCCCGAGGTCAACCAGGACGTCCTCTCCAACACCATCGACGAGCCCAACCAGCAGGGGCTCGCCCACCAGAACGCTGGCTCCTCCCTCGGCTCCGCCCCCGCCGGAGTCCTCCTCCGGGCCCTTTCCATGGGACTCCTCATTTGTAGGTTAGGCTTCCTGTGAGGAATTGTCTGGATCCATGGAGGAAGTCGGAAAACACCAAAATAAACCACTAGGCAAGATTAGCAGTATCCATATACAGCTCCAATTGGACCGCGTTTAACGGAAAGGAACCAAGCCACATCAGATATTGCCGAATTTAAAAGTTCTCTCCAGTTGATCACTGGGAGAACAACTGGGCAATTAATTTTTTTTTTTTTTTTTTTACTATATGCGGATGTATGTATAAAGCCGCTTTTATAGCGCTCTCTGGCGCTCTGCGACACTTAGCCGCCAAAGTCTTCTATCCTCCCAAAGCCCTTCAGGGAGTTGGCAAACCCTCGTTTCTTCTTACACTCCCTGTCGCCACCCTTTCACTGGGCGTTCATGCGGATTCTTTTGAAAATTTAGAGGAATTTGCCACATACTAAACAGAAAATTCACTGAAATTTGCACACAAATCCGCAAAACTGTTTTTATGTAAAAAATTAGAAAAATTAAAGTATCAATAGCTGATGCGGCTTGGTTCCTTCCTGATCAACGCGATCCAATTTCAAAACTTTTACCACACCAAAAACGCATTTCTTGTTGATTGGTCAGTGATTTTTAGGCTTTCATCGTAGCCACTGCCCTCATGGGTTTCGATCAATGTAAACAAGCAAGATTCACCTAGTTAGTGGCTGCATGTTTGTGCTAGACACTAAGACCAAGCCCGAAGTCCAAAAAAGGCAAACCTCATAAACAAGGAACAATTATAAACAGACAAGATGGTGAGTAAATTCTAGACGTAATACGAGTTTCCAATTTTCCAACCTCTAAAATAAGTCCTAAACGACCATGATTTCATTTATTGGGAAAGTAGACTATCAGGAGAAATTTCGCAACATGAAAAGCAGGATGGCTTATTGCTGGTAAAGTTGTCTCTCTTAATAGCTAATCGTTTTTGTTCTGATTACTAAAGTAAGATAGGATAAAACACAACAAAAAATTCCATCGCCCTAAATTGAGGAACCCATGTTTTTCGACTTTCGTCCCTTTGAGTTCAGTAACGAATTTTGAAGCCAGTATTTGGCAGATCAAAATTGACTAATTCCCCATCCAATAAAGGAGGTCAATGAATGATACTGTGAGAGTTACCAGCCATGAGTGTCAAAAATCATGATTAATTTCGTTTATTTTATTTGGCAAGAGAATTATTGTGAATAATCCTAAACCTAATGACTTCCACGTAACCACTGTAAGAAGTAAGTTCTTGTTACCCTCTCGTTGTCGTTAGGTAAATAATTAAACTTCAAAAAAACTGAGAGTTTCTCGACGATAGGCTTTTCACTAGCGACAGAAGTGTGAATTCTCATCATTGATGATCCTTCAGTTTTTTCGTAGTTTGTCCGTGTGTCAAGAATCATTTATTCCCATTTTTTTTCATTTTTCTCGATTTTTGTTCTTTGGTAGCTTTTCTCAAAAAATGTAAAACTTTCTTTAAATAAGCTGATCATTTAAACGTAAGTTTAACTAATTACTGTATGATGCATATTTTGTCCATTCTGTGAATACCAGAGAATTTGCAGGTAAATTCATTCAGTTGTTCGTCAAAAGTGTTTCCCATGAAACTGATTTACTGAACTTGACCCACCAATACATAAGAGACATTGTCAGAAGTTTTTTCTTATATATTTTGTAAATGTATTCCTTTGTAAATCACCAAGTATCAAAATACATCTTATTTATGTTTTTAACTGTTTCCATGTTCATCTTTCATTTTTCTCCCAGCCCGACCTGCCTGGGTGTGGAATCCGTTTGAGTAGCCATGCCGATGAGCGGGCTGAAGGAATTTCATTATCCTTCAATTACTTGCTTATGCAACCAAGCCCTACACCAAAGTTCGAATTGTTGCTTGGAGGAAGGATGTTCATTCACTCCTCACACAAGACCTTCATCGGTGGGCCTCGCTTCGACCTTGATTATTTGGACGTAATTCTATCAAACGGAACTATGAACCTTGAGCCTATGAACCTTGAAACCCATAAGAATATATGCACAACAGGGCTCACGTCCCTATGCATATAGTTCCGTTTGATATAAATACGTCCATTTTTGGCCTCGATCCCTTTGGCGCCTTCCTTCAAATTATTGAGAGCAGACCCCGAATCCGTCTAACTTTCTCACTGGTTTTTAGAGGGATAAGTCGTCGCCTACCTGACAAAAGAGCGTAACTAAACTCTGCAATGAACCGTGTCTTCCATATAATGCAATGCTTTTCCGGGCTCATCTCAATGTGTGGTTACGCTCTTGTGTCAGCCAAGCGACGAAGTGGGGTCCTCTGGACTCAAGAACCTAGAAAAGTTAGGGATGTAAACACTTTCGTAAATGCTCAGGCAAAAATGGAAATTTCATTTAAAACATAAAATATAAAAAAAAAAGTTATTGTTTTTTCCTTGCTTGATTTATCTTCGAATTGTGAGTTCTTTGGCCGTCTTGGCGAATAGCTTAATAATTCGTAATTTTAAGATAGTATTGTGAGACCTTTCACTAAGGGATATTATATGCGTGGCCAAGGATTCTTTTCCAAATTTCGCACTGGAAGGGAAATAGTTGGAAATTTTAGGATTTACTAAACTGCCGGCTTTGAAATGTGTCAGTCATGTACGTGTGCAAAGCAATTTTTTTAGGTGTGCTAGATCAAAACATAAAAATTTTTTCTTCACTCCTTTGAGGAGCTCTGAAGACTCCCCACCCCACCCCTTACCTTACCTTTGTGGATGAGACCCGCGCGGCCTATGCCGTAAATGTGCTTGTTTAACAATATTTCTGGAAGAGCAAAAGGAGGACTACTTACTTTTAAGTAAAATGTGTATGCGATGAAAAAACCCTATTTTAATACTATTTCAGAAGACCTTCCTCGAAGTTTTTGCTGTAAATCAATGAGAATGCATATAAGTATAAACAGAATTAAAGGCTCTCAAAATGTAACGAGAGTCAAGCAACGGGTCTCATAAGGTGGTAACTCTCATTACGAGGGTCGTCCAGAAAGTAAGTTTACCTGTTCAATATCTCCTAAACTTAGGTAGGTAAAGAAAATCCGTAGAAAGCGTTAAAAAGTCACTACTCTCAGCTCTCTAACGAGCTATAGATTTTTAAATTTGATTTAATAGAAATCTAGAAAAGTAACGCTTTCTACAGATTTTCTTTACCTGCCTTAGTTTAAGAGATATTGAACAGGTAAACTTACTTTCTGGACAATTCATCCGTGTTTATCTCAAATTCACAAATTGTAGCTCTCTAAGTGAAGTGATCTGGAAAGGTCATTTTTGTAAAATTTTGGGAGTATGTGTGTCAAAATGATGGAAAAATAACCCCTCTAAGCTGTGGCATTGATCCTGAAAATACGCAAGTTGTCCCTTTTTTTCTCTTAATTTAAGTTTCTTTTATTTTGCTGCGATCCATCTAATTTGAACATTATCATATCATTTAAAGGTACTTGACATTCAGGATAAGGTCTCTGCTCTGCATTCCTCCATTCTAACTCAAACGAGGGAGGTTCGCATATTCAAAGCTTCGAAGATGATACGCAGCGTCTGTCAAACGAGCGTGGAAGAAATCAAAGAGGAAAGCTAAATAATTGGTGATCAATTAGTGGTATGCAGCCGTCTGAGTCCCACCTCACCACCTCACTGCCGGTGCTTTTACATTCGGGACAAAGGTCAAGAGGTTAACATCCAGTCCGAAATTTCCTACTTGCGCCGCACTGCTATGCCGGGCGCTGAGGCATATATTGCCAAGTAGCCTCATATCAGTCCTATGAAAATAATTGCAGTTTAAGAGACCGGGGAAAAATTAACATGACAGATAGTTGACAGGAGCGCCTTTGTAAAAAGTCCGAGTTTTTTCTACTCGCTCATCCTATTGAATCTTTTCCAAGGGGAAAAACACAAAATGCGGACAAATTAAAAAATTTAAAAAAAATTCCAAAGACAATAAATTTAGGTTCACTGTCGAAATTGATCGAACGCAAAATGGATCAAGCCCTCGCTCATTCAGAATGCTTCATTTTCTGAGTTCATTTCCAAACCTTTAATTGCGCCCAGCGGTTCACGCGTAAACTTTTAAATAGAAACGACCATGGGGATGGGGCACACCTTTTAAAATTCAAACCTTTTTTGCTTGTCCATGAAAAAACTGTATTTGCTTCTTTTTTATGAATAAAACAGTGCGACACAAGTCTAAAGTAAAACTAAATACATTCATGTTTGACTGCTCGAAGTGTCGTTTACTGATTCAGTACACATATTTGACTTAACTTTTTGTTGATTTTGTCAAATCTGAGTCATCGCATTTTAGGCATATCTTCAAATCTTCACTCGAGAGTGCTAATAATAAATTTTATGGTTGATTTTCTTCGAGCTTGTAGTAAAAAAGTCTTAAAATTTTTTGTTGAAAGAATACTGATATATATTTCACCAAGTGGTTGTTACATAATCAGGGCAGAGAGACCTCTTGTTCTGTTTAGCGTCTTCTCTTCGTGCAAGAGCATTATTTTTATGAGGTAGGTACTGCCGTGCTTTAATTTTCATTTCGTTAAGAGTTTTTATGCATTTATTAACTTTATATTCCCACGTGCATATGGTGTTATGGGTGAATTTTTTGTCCGACTGGCGTACAGTGGATCGAGTCAATACGAGAGGCCGGACATGAAATTTTCGACTAAAAGTGCAAATTTTGATTCGTCACATTTTAAATATTAAGGGGTGCTCCAAGAAGAAAATTTCACGAGAAAACTAATGAAACCACTTTTAGAACCTCAAAGTTTTGTATAAACGGAGTTATAAGCTTTTAAAGTTTCCAAATTCCGTCCGACTTCTCCCATTGACTCGATCCACCGTGTGGCGCCCAGGTAACGAGCATGCGAGCGAGGTACGAGCGTATCGCCATAGTTATAATAATTTTTTGTTGACGACGTATATATGGCGAAAATATGTAGAAGGCCCGAATAAACATTTTTAGGATGTATGACAGAGGCCAATTCTTAGGTCCGAAGGGTAAAATCCAAGGAAATCCTTGTTTCCCCAGTTTTTAGGCTCAGCATGAAATCTGGCGTGGAACATTGTAAAAACGCGAATTTCAACGGATTTTTAACCTTCGACCAAAGTTTTGGCTTTCGTTTCGAAGCATACAATGTAAGCATCACCGAAACACAATT